ATCCTGTACTGTGTTCATGAACTATGATGTTGCTGAAATCAGTACAGCCTCAGATCCCTGGTCTTATACTAGCAGTGCAGTGAGGAAGGATGCTACTGTAGGCCTAGCAGAGACAGGGAGGAGGGTGGTAGAGGTAGGAAGAAAACAGTGACACACAAATGTACTTTGGGTTTGTAATTAACTCTACAGTAGTAGTTTTTACTGTATGTGTAAATTTGTTATAAACGTGCTCTTTAAAAAGTAGCAGCCTAAGCATTTTTTGCTAGTCACTTACATTAAATGTTTAAATTGTTACATATGGTACTGCTTATATTATTTCACCAACTATACAAATGTAAGTAGTTAATGTGTGTGTCCGTGGGTGGGGATGCGTGAGTGTGGTACTGTGGGCTGGTGTGGCTACAGTGCCAGGGCTTAATATTTGTCCCAGTCCGCCCCTTGATGGCTGAATTTATTTACAATAAAAAATAATATAAAAATTTGGTATGATGCAAATTAGCGACAACAGGCATAAACGAGAAACCAGTGCTTGGAAAAGGTTCCCAGGTACGTATTGAATATGTGCAAACAGGCAATGGGGGAATACATACGCTATCTCAGCTGCAGTCAGAAAGGAAGAGGTGTGATGCGAATTAGCGACAATCGGCGTTAAGGGGCAAATCATAAGAACAAAGTTTGCATTTGCTTGCCAGAAAACAGCCTGTTATTGTCAAGATAAAAAAATAAGAATTTATAGTAATAACAAAAAACACAACATACACACCTTTTTGGCCAACCACACTGGACGTTGGGCTGTAACCCACAAGAAAACAAGCAGAACATCCAAACTCCTAAAAGTAGCGACCAGGGCTGAAATCTGAGTACTGGACCTTTATTCCAGGACGCTAACAAACTGTGTTATCAGGCTACCTCCTGTTTGCTCTATTTATCATTTTTTTATATGTATTTTTTGTTGAAAAAGGAGTCAGGACTGATGTTGACACCCATCCTAGAAAACTTATTCTTTGAACATCCTGCATACCTTGGTATTCTCCCAGTTCATCAGTCCAAAGGCTCTCAGTCCCATAGCTTCTCTCATCATGGATGAAAACCACTTCTGTGGCTTTAGCATCATCTGCATTTTGAATCAGCTCCTGTTGACAAATAAACACAATAAACATTATTAGAGTTTGGGAGACCAAAGCTAAGACTCAAGGATTCCTACGTTTCTCTGCACCACCGCCACTGTGTCAAGCTGGAGCTACTTTATATGTTTGTTGTTGTGGAAATATCAGTTCTACCAGATAAGACAAAATTTGAATCCTCATAGACCTTGTATTGTTTGCAAACAAGAGTCAATATTTATCTGAGCTGCTTCATCCTTATACATCCACCTGTTCGCTCAGGTCAGTTGACAAACTTCTTCTGAGAGTGCCTAAAACCTGTCGCAAACTTAAGCTAAACTTTTTTACAATGAGCTTTTTTGTATTCAGTTTCACAATAACTTATATACTGTAATATTATAACATAAGGAACATCTATGTGTTTTGGAAACACGATTATCAGAGGAATTTCCCTCACATGTTCAATTAGACTCTTGGGACTACAGTGTACGAAATGAACACTGCAGATTCTACTCTATAGTAATATTGGAGGCTTTAGTTTGTAGTAGTATTCAATTGTACTGCAGCATACTCAGTACAATCAGTGAATTGTCAAATGTAGAACACCAGTGCATGACTAAATTAAGCCTGATTTCACAATCCAGTATAATTCATCTCATTATACAACCCTGTGTTGTACATTTTAGCAGAAGACATTTTGACTTGTTATTGCAGGAAAAGAACTGGTGATCTTTAACATTAAAGAAGGTTGAATTCCATTTAGATGCTTCAGTTTCAGGGTCCTGGTATTGTGCCTGTGGGCTGACTGTCACAATGTCATGACACTCGAATACAACAGAGCCATCATTACTCTAATTAGTAACACCTTCTATGACTAGTCAAAATGTCTGCTGTGAAAAAGGCACACGGAAATGTGCTTTGCAACAAATTATGAAAAACAGTATTTTGTGGTAGAAAAATACATTTTGTACATTTTTCCCCATTAAGCTTCGTTGATGGAGTAGGTACATAATTGATGTGTTATCTGTTTAGAAACAACTGAATCCAGCTCAATGAAATACAGTATGTAGCAGGAAGATTTGGACCATGAATTTAAATAGGCTGCAATGCAATAAAGACTTCTGGACAAGGGGCACAAACAGCAATTAAAGCAAATCAAACAGATCTAACTTATTGCAAAATAAAACTTCAACAGATTTTTGAATTGAACAACTGCTACATTCCTGAGTGTGACCTTAATATTTATCTTTAACCATGCTGATTATGCCAAAAGAAATAGACTTCCAAAATTGAGTTGTGTAAAAGTAAGATCTAGGTTATGTATCAATTAGAAAATATTAAATATTAAATAAAGTAAGTGTTATAAACAGTCTCTGACAAATCATTGTACCAACCTTCAATATTTGTCCACCATCTGGATATCGACGAAGAATATCTTTCAGGTAGTCAATGAAGGGCGGTGCTGTTGCCCCGAAGGCCGCTCTAAACAAAGCAGGATGATTAAAGAGTAACAGTTACAACACAGGGTGGGTTCTCCTGAAACAGTTAGCACATGTATTTGACTTATATGTTTAGCAATAAAGTTTAAGTGCTTTACTTTAAAGTAGACCTGTTGTTATCTTGTTGGACAATAAAATGGATTCAGAGCTATAATGTTCACAAGTATATCATACGTGAATCAATAAAGATGCGTGCTATAAGACTGATAAAAATCTTATGAATAAGAGTTTGTAAGTGATTATTACATTGTCACGAATTGTTATTGTGCATAATCAGTTTTGCAAATAAGCTCACTGTATTAATCAAGCAATAACTGCTAAATACTGTATTTCTACACCAACACACAGCAGTTGCCCTCACTTAACAGGAACACTATAAATATGAGCTATGCTAATTGTTAAATTAATCATTCATTAATGTGTAGATATTTGTTTATATTGATCAAACCTTATCTGCAGGATGAACACTGTCAGGTAAATGCAAGTCTGTATAATGTTCTTGATTTGTTCGCAAGATAGGTCTGACATACAAACGTAGTCACCATAACAGCAACATGATCTCTAATTACTGATGCATGATATTTAATAATAATGATAATTTACAGAATTGATCTATACTCAGGAAAATAAATTACAAGATCCAAAAAGGTGAAATCTCAACCAATGGTGAAGTAATTGCTGTATTTGGACCTTATAGCCAGATGAAGTGTACACGATAACAGTACTTAGCCTTGATAAGTGCCATTGCACATTGCTCTCCATGCCAAACGTCAGTGATGACTATGATATGGTGACTAACAAGCATGTACATACATGTTGTACTATATGATGTATGGTGTTTATGAAGGTCCACAATTAAGAACCACCATTTTAAAATTGAATTTAATCTGATGTTATTTTCGATAAGGCGAAACACTATATGCAAAACAAAACAAAAAAAATAACTAGGCAGTCCTCTGGCTGGGGACTGATTTAATACATTTTTTAAGAAATCAGTGTCAGTAACAAATATTGCTTCGGTGCACAATTTTGGTCAAAAGAGCATGTACTCTTATTGGTGGCTCACCTTTTACTGTCATCAGTCAGCACATGAAAGTGAAAACAGATAACGGCACAACTCACCGAGTTTTTTTCTTTGCCTTCTGACTCATCCTTCCAGGGTTGGTTTCTGTTAGAGAGTCAGAGTATTGTGACAAAAGCATTGCAGAACAAACCTCCTTTAATCCACATCAAACTCATGTATTACACATTACTGTATTCATTGTTTACTTACACTACTCTGTTTGGCCATGTGAAAACTAAGAGCATGGTTAAGACATGTATGGTCAGACCTGGACTGCAGATGCACAGCTGTAAGCTAATTTTATTACACAGACTGACACTAGGTGAGAACTAAGTCAAAGTTTTCTGATTATATTCAAAATTTGTTTATATCAGTATAATTTGTAAACACAGGTAAAACTATGGCAGTTTCACAAAGCAGGTTTATGGAGCTTTCTGGAAAACCCACAAAACCGGAAACAGGTAATTGATACCATGTTCTAGACGGTAAATAATGCATATACAACACAAAAAATATACAAATTAATCAATTCAGAGATATATTAAAAATACGAGTAAAAAAATATAAACATAATAAAAATAGACAAATTGAACAATTAAATAAAGGAATAAATTCTTCTTTCCCTAACACATTGTAAATAAAAATGATAATAATTTGCTCAGAGATGCTGACAAAGATGCTAATAATTACACATTAATAAAATCACAGTACCTCACTCATGTTAGTGGAGGGGCTGCAGCAGCTCCGCAGTTGCCAAGTTCAAAGTAATGAAGTTACATCAGTTGTGCTCTTTATAAAGGACTGTGAGGTCCAACCCATAGACTGTATGGTCCAACCCCAACGGTACACATGGTTTCCAGCCAAATTCTGTCTCGTTTCTCTTGTTTTCCACCGTGCCACGGTATGAAACGAAACTTAGGTCAACAAGAATGGTTTCTGCTGCCATCGCCAATGAAACGAAACTATTGTGAGGAAGATAAGGTCTGCCCCTCAAATAGCCCTTTAATCATGACAACACCGCATCCACGAAAATGGACTATAGGCCGTCATTGGGACATATATATAAAAACACAGAGAACACGTAAAAACAGACAACACACAAACAAATGGTTCAGAAACAACCAATGGACAACATCAGAAGACCACACAGCGCGCATGCTGGGTTAAAAGCAAGGGATACAAATGAGTTCTGTTCAATATGTAACTTGGATTAATTGTTGTATTTTCCTCTAAGGTTTTGTGTCCCTGCTGCCCCCCCGACATTATTCATCCCATTTAGGACCTTTATTCCGCCACTCGCTAGATGATGCTGCAGCCCATGTATCAGAGGACAAACCGGGCAGCTTCTTCCAGGAACGCAGGAGATGAAACGCGATCTCCTTGTTGTTTATCTGGCCGTTACTAAGATGTGATAACTGCGCTTGCAAGATAATTACCACCACATACGCATTTTCTTAGGGAGATTGAAGACGGTATGTAACATGTTTGTGTGCTAATACTCCCATCCTCACGTAACTTCACGTTTAGGGCTAAACAAGGCCTACAATACAGTTGAGCGGCTTGCTAAGTAACGTTAAGCTAGTTTATTTCTGATTTTACATTTGCATGCCCCGCTATGGTCTACCTATTCGGCGATTAACCCATGTGTTAATCAGATGAGCTACAGTACTGTCGCGCACTGATGCACAGCGTCAGTAATGAGGACCTAACAAAAAGATAACCCGTGATTTAACCTTTATTTTAATAGTAAACGCTGATGACACGGACATGCATTGCATAGTGCATGTCTACTCTCTGCTACACCACTGTGAAGCATAAGAAGCATTTTGTGTTTATCACTTGCAGATGTCCCTATGATGTGTCAAAAAATGGAAAGCCGTCCCCTCCCACTCTGCTTGTAGATAGCACCATGCTGGATAAAACCAGTGATCAAAGCCAAGAGACTGGGCTCTGCTCAGAATGCGGATGCACTTTCAGACTATCACAACCCGACTCTGACTCAACCAGCTCTTTAGCCTCTCTTAAACAGCAGCATGTGCACAAGGTAGACCGTCCTTCCAAATGTCCATCCTGCCAGGTGGGCACCAGCCTCCCTAATGGTCGACGTCCACACCGGCGCATGCGTCTGGACCCACACAGCTGTAGCCTGTGCTCCAAAACCTTCATTTCCTCCGCCCACCTGACCCTTCACCTGGCCTCTCACAACAAGGAGAGGAAGTTCAGATGTAGCACCTGTGGCAAGTACTTCCATCAGTCCTCCCACCTGATGGCACACAAGATAATCCACAGCGGGGACAGGCCGTTTAAATGCCCAGAGTGTGGCAAGACCTTCGGCCGTGCCTCACATCTGAAGACCCACCGCCGGCTCCACACAGGCGAGAAGCCCTTCAAGTGCACCTACTGTGACAAGTCGTTCACACAGAAGGCCGGGCTTCTGGCACATGTTCGAATACACACAGGGGAGCGGCCGTACAAGTGTGAGCAATGCGGCGAGGGGTTTCGCTCCCTGTCGCTCCTGCTCTCTCACAAGGCTGAAAAGTCATCTGGGCAGGCCAAACCAGAGCCCACACCACTAGTCAAACCGCCCCAGAAGACACCAGGTAGCCCAGAGGATCTGAAGTGTGGGGTCTGCTGCCGCACCTTTGTACGATCATCATACATCAGGCTGCACATTCGCCTCAACAAAGGACAGCGGCCTTATCACTGCAAAGTGTGCAACAAGACCTTTGTCAAACTGGATACGTTTGTGAAGCACTGTGATAAACATTTGATGCAGAAAAGGGATAAAAACAATGAGGGTAAAGACAAAGTTGTTAAGCCTCCCCTGTTCGTCCCACTTTCCAGGGCTTCTTCTTCTGAATCCTTACCCACTCAGTCTTTTTCCTCTGAGGTCAACACACGCTCCAGAGCAAAAGCAAAGATAAAAACGGAGCAGTGACCAAGAGCGGTGCCCCCACTGACACAAAAATGTTTCATAAAACAACAAACGCGGGAAAGTGTGTGTCATGTCAATGTCGTTTTCCAAAAAAAAAATCTCACCTGTAACCAATGAAAACAAATGAAAAGTTTACAAAATGTCGGCGAAAGGGACAAAGCAACGTTGTAGTGAAATAACTCCCAAAACGGGGTTATTGTGTGATTTATTAACAACATGAGTTTACTGATTGTACAGTTATTTTATTTTGAATAATGCTATTGTGAAAGTACTACAATGTTTTTTTATGCAAATGTTAGCTCATAGGGCTGTAACATTTCAGTGGCCTACATTGTTCACTCTAATCTTTGAACAGAAAATTACGAAATAACCATTATAATTCATGGTTTATATGTTGACGCCATACAAGCCTACTGGCATTTATAGCACTCACAATATGCACTTAAGTGTAAAAATAAACTGAAAAGCACAATGTGGAGAACTGAACCATTTATTTTGTTGCACCTAGAGGCTACAGACATCTGTCAAAAACAATTTGTTGTTTCAGTTACCAACCATTGTCAACACAACCGTCTTCTATAAAGCCCCTTTTTCTGTAATTCTCCACAGTTCATTGTTAGCGTGAAATTTCTCTGTTAATCTGCTCTTAAAACATGGTTTATATTGTGCTGTTATCACCTGGCAGCCTGTGCTTACCTGGCTTGACACTGTAGGACTACGTATCCTGCCAGATGAGCCTCTTTTGACTTAACATTCACTACAACGCGTCAGTCAAACTTTCCATTCTATTCCAGGTCAGAAGCAGCTCACAGCCGATACCTCGCTGACCATAAAGCTCAACAGAAGATTTATTATTGTTGTTTTTCTACATATCTCCCCTGCTGACGGAGATTCTGTCACCTCCACATGGGGAAAGTCTTTGTCCCAACCTATAGACAGAGAGGGGAAAAAAGTGTAAGAAAGCCATTTACAAGTTAAAGGTTAGGGCTCTTGGGAGGTTAATGTTTATCACATTGCATGAGATTCACAAATGTAACAATGCTATAACTGACAATAAAAAAGCCTACCACCACTTGAAATCGTCAATGCATCGCTCAGATAAGGAGACTGTAAAGTGTAAAGTGAAGATTAGACATTTGCCTGGCACTTGTCTGTTTCCTCTGTGCTGCAGTAAACTTTCCAGTGCAGGGTAACGTTCATGTGGCGTCTCCAGACAGGGTTCCTGCGCAAGACAATGGTTCCACTGATCGAGTCTCCAGCATACACACTAACGGGTCTGTCTAGCATGAAGAGAGTCTGCTTCCAGTGTGTCGGCCTGAAGAGAAAAGGGTCTACTTAATATTGAAGTTTTTGACTTTTCTTTTTTTTTTTTTTTTTTAGACACTAAAATTTCAGACTACTACAACATTATTTGCAGTCTGTAACACACAGAGATATACTAAGTACTAAAAGTCACTGAAATTAGTATTTGTCTGTTTATTATTCATTATAATTATTATTATAAATTCATATCCTTTGTCACGTTGTAACCGCACAGCAACAGAGAGAGGAAGTGTTTTGTTTTTTTTACTCAGAGTTAGGTCCGGTGTTTAGCTCCACTGCTGCGCCTCCCGTCTCCAGGCTCTCGAAATGAACAGTGAACCAGGCGGTGAATCCATGGAAAACGGCAGACCTTTCCACATAAAAATGAAACTGACCCTTTATTTCCTGAGAAATGAAACAGAGTGCTCCATTAGTTACAAAATCCAACATGTATGAGGTGGAGCAATATCCTTTCTTTTTTTTTCAGCATTTCGGCATTATTGTGACAGTGATAGTTGCAGCAATTTCTAATACGGGAAATATCAGTACCTCCAGGTCTTTGATTTGCAGAGTGTACATGTCCAGGCATATCACATCACACGGGGCAGCGAGACAGTCATCGGGCTCAATGAGGTGGCTGAACTTGGGCTTGGTGAAGAACTCCTGCTGTGCCAAAGGCCTGCATAGAAGAAATGTTATTCACCACCATGAGGAGATTAGGCTGCTGCCACATATTTTCTTGATCTTATCTATGACTCAACAGGAGAAAAGGACAAACACAATCTAAGCACACTTAAGACAACGAAGAAATAGATGACAGAACGTAGACATTATGGGTTTCTGTGAGTGTATGCCATAGTAATTTTAACGATACAGTATGTGATGTACTCTGTATTGGAACAGAAATATTGACAAACAGTATAGATTACATACCTGTTCATGCATTTAGTAACAACTGTTAATAGCAGTCACAATTGGCTAAATATGGATTGAGTTGAGTATGAGTTGTCAGAGATGAATAAAATTTAAAAAATTAAAATTATTTTAATAAATGAGGCCACAGTTTGTAGCGTCGTAGCAAACATCTTGATCTTAAAATCCTTTAGTTGTCCTATGACAACTGTTCTTCACTAATGCACTTTTCCTGTGTTTGGTACATGTCATCACAATCTTTTGAGACTTTTACTGCATGTCATAATTCCAGTGTTTTTGCCTGATTCACCAGAAATTTTGTGGTCTCTTTGTGCATGGGTACATTTGATCAACTGTTTCCTTTAATGATTGTTAAATACCAATTAGCTGCATAAGTCAGCTTTCATTGCAGTCAGACGGTCACCATTTTTATGTTCAGGGCAACAGAGGGCAACTTACAGAAATACAAATACCCCAGTTAGTTGCTGCCTGAGCTGCTGGTGGATCAGTCACACTGGATCTATTTTGAAAACACAATTACTATCAGCATAATGAGGGACATACAGTATGTTAAAAATAAAGGAGTTAATTGATTAATGAGTCAACATCTCATGAAATAAGTACTTCTGTCAGATAAACACATTAATACATTTGATGCTCAACATGACAAATGTCCCATTTGAGTTTTATTGTACTTCAAGTTAAATGTCTGTTTCACGGGTGTGGATTGTTACACATATCTGTCACCTACCAAATGTGAATTAATACACAAAAACAGCATCACTGCCTGGCACCAGATTACGATGCTAAATGTTTAAAACTTCACATCTGAGTTGATCTTTTTGGAGAATATTTCTACTGAGAAAGTGAGACAGGACAATGTTCAATGTGAAGAGTTGACCAATGGCCCTTACTGAAGAGGAGTGAAGTCCAGGCCGTAGGGCCGCTCCCAGAAGGCCATTTTCTCTGCATAATAGCTGTCAGCCTGACACGGCACCAGGGTGAGGGCCGCAGATGAGGGCCACATCACACCACCTTCCCTAAGCCAGCGGTCCCTGGCCAGCAGAACAGACTCCACCATGAACTCAAACTAGATCAGAGGAAGGAGAGACAGAAACATGATGTGTCATTAAAACCTGAATGGGACTGGAAGAGAAAAACTGGATCCTATACAACTATGTTAATGCTAAGGCATCTAACGTAGAAAACATCTTCACACAATAAGGTATATTATTACAAACAGTAGTGGTGGTGTCATTATTACCAGTAGGCAGTTACCCATCCACTCGGAAACCAGCACGTCCACTTGCTCAGGTAGTTCAATCTCCTCAGCGCGTCTCTGGAGGACCGTGACCACGTCCTCACAGCTGTTCTGCTTCACCAGCTGTCTGGTGTGCTCTGCCATGGAGCTCGCCTCAACAGCATACACCTATAATACAACATATACGCTTTGTACCCCATGCTGTTAATACCATGTAGCAACACTCCTTGTCCAGCAGATGGGAGCATAGCTACACTAAGGTTCAATATACAGTATACCCATGAGTAAACTAAGTAGTTTAGTATATTATACAGAGACTCTGTTCTTCTGATTTACCATATTTCTGTTGATTTCTGGGATGTTTTTGCTGGTGATTTAGTTGTCATTTGAGATAAACTCAGAACTTTGGCTGTATCTAACATTAATGCAAATATGGTGTCATTTTAAACCGTTTCAGGTTTAAACATTCCAGAGATTGGACTTTTCTGCCAGATAGGATGACAAATTGTTGATACCTAAAAGGGCAACTCCACTGACTTTACACATCAAAGTCTGGTTACAGGTGAAAAAATTGTATAAGGCCCTTTGTGGGTCCAGAGAGAGCTGTGTGTGTCTGATAAATTGTCTTTAAAATGTTGGTTGGGTAGGAAGCAATAAGTGGCCAAATATTTTTTTACTCCTTTTTCCCATGATAATGGGATACTTTTCTCGTGATCTCGAGATAACGAATGTTGTTTTCCTGTGATAACACACCATAGCCGAATACAGGGGTCGGCAGGTCTTTAGGATAATTTCCAAGACATTTATGGTGTCGCTGGTTAGCTCAATTGGTAAAGTGCAGGACTAATAATCCAAAGATTGTCGGTTTTTTTATCATCCTTCAACAAAGTTGTTATGAAGAGATTCAGGGGAATCCAATCACACATTTCCCGACAGCTATTTCAAAGGTTCCAAAAAGTGGGAAATGTGTAAAGTTAAATGGATTCCCCTGAATGAGAATGATGGATGTGGACCAATCGCCAGGATGCGCACAGTCCAGCATGTGCTTTATTGTGAGCATGTAAAACAGTCTCTTCATAAGAAGTTTGTTGAAGAGGATTATGAAAAAGAAAAAAAAAAATAGGTCTTCAGTGTGGATCGAACACAACCCCGCAATCATGAGTGCTGTGCTCTACCAACTGAGCTAAACAGTGACACTGGATACCTCTCTGAAATTATCAATAAGAAACTAAATTAACTACGGTTTTGTTATCTCGAGATCACAAGAAAATGATCCCGTTATCATGGGAAAACGGAGTACAAAAAATATTTCAATAGATGGCCGCTTAGGGCTTCCGTAGTTGGGACTAAAGACTACAAGTTGAAAATCAAAAGAAATCTGGTTACAAAGAAGTAATGTTACCAAACCTGTGTAGCCCGCTGCTTGATGCTAGCAGCTCCAGGCTACATTAGCTATTTCTAGCATAACAGACTCAAATTGCTGACTGAACTGTGAGTGGTCATATTGCATTATGGGTAATGTAGGCACCACATTTTAACAAGGAGGAAGAAGATGGGGACTAAAAAAAGACGATATCCCTGATTCAGGGCTAATGTTTTTTTGTATCCATCGTAAGTCCAACAATGTTATAGGACTTATGTTATAGAAGTACTCTTATTATTTCGGAATAGAAAACTCCAATATGATTCCTGTATATTTTAAGTTAAGATATGCCTTAAAATTAATAAATAAACTTCAATAAGACAACTTTCTCAAATTTAACTTGTGGAATGGTAGGAAGCTTAATTTCTCTTCATAAGTGGAATTTATAACGTAACTGCACCTGAAGTCCCTAAAATGGGACTGGATCTGGGCCATGGTCCTACAAGGTGTCAGTTCCTCTACTATCTCTACACTGCAGATGGCATAACCAGCATTCTGTGTGTGTTGTGTGAAAGAGCATTAATGCTTGAGTAGCTTCCCCACCAGTGATACTGTCGACATTACCACTGAGGGTTGTGCCAGCTGAGCGCAGAACAAGCTGATGATGCCAGTCCCACAGCCAAGGTCCATCACCACCTTATTCTGCAGAGAACCACTATTGCTAAGAATGACCTGCCGGTACGCCTCAGTGCGACTCTTATCTGACAACATCTCCAAGTGAAGCCTCTGTTGGATAAAAAAAAAACAGGAAATAAAATACAACAACTGATATGGTTTGCAGCAGCCAATGCATAGTAGTATATCAGTAACATGGGACAAATCATGACACACCTTGTTGTCAAGAAGATATTGGCAGAGACTCAAAGTGTTATATATCAAATACAGATGACAAGTTTTTTGTGGTGTTTGTTATGAAACAACAATGCACGGTGCGCCCAAGCCACATTTCCCTTCGGGGACAAGAAAGTTTAACCTAACTTGAAAAAAAAAATGGTTCTTGAGAAAAATGCCACAGTGAAATCAAAACAAACAGACAATTTGTGGTTTACATTATTGTCTTATTTTATCCATATCAATGTTTATTTCATAATGCATTATTTATTTCTCATACATATTTAACATATTTAACAGTTTTGGTATCCATAGTTTTTAATCCATGAACTCAAATACGTTACAATAACTGACAATTATTTTTCCAAGCATGTCCTTTTGGAGCCATAGATTTCAATTTATTGCAGGAGTGGATAAGACCCATGCCTTTGGTGTGAGAGACCTGGGTTCAACTCCCCACTGTGACACGTCCACCGATATGTCCCTGAGCAAGACACTTAACCTAGTTGCTCCAGAGGCGTGTGATCTCTTACATGTATAGCAATTGTAAGTCGCTTTGGATAAAAGTGTCAGCTAAATGAATAAATGTGAGAGGTGATCCATCACAGCTTTATTTCCCACCCCAGGAAGAGTAGTTGTCACCAAGGTAACAACAACGGAGATCCAAATAAACAATTAACAATTTCCTCCTTGTAATACAGCAGGGCCTGTTTGGATGTTTTCTTCCTGGTGGTGCATTTAAATCACGTATGTATTCTGGGTTTAATTTCCCAACACTTGTGAATGTGATGCATTTCTGCAGCTCTCTGAATCTAAGAAATTGTCCTTAAAGTCACCACCAAAACGCAGTGCCTTATAACAACTGCATTACATCTCAAGGTTAACATAACTCTGAGAAAAGAAAAAGTTATTCATTGTGATGGATTACCTAACGCAAGTATGTTTCAGGTCCCTGCATGTTGGTGTTTTTAGCTACCACCCTGAAATTGCATGGCTCACTAGGGGGCTGCAAATCAACCTTAAGTCTTGTGTTATGCTTTGAAATGTCAGTGTGCAATTTGTAGATCATTAGGTTGTAACATGTAAAACATAATGACCCTTTAATGTTTCTTACCAGTGTCCCATAACTGCCGAAGTATTCTTCATCTTGCCATGGGTCCTCCAGGGAGGTGTCCTCCTCCTCCTCAGCAGCATCCTGTCGCAGGTAGTCGGCGGGTGCATAACCTGTGACCCCGTCCAGCTCTGCCCACCACCACTCTGATGAAGGCTTGGCGTGCACGAGCAGCCTATCCCCGCGGCTGAAAGTAAGCTGCGGGACAGAAACAGCACGGTTAGCACTAGCCACCCAACCTTCAACTTTCCACTGAAAGTGTTAAGTTACACGGTCTCTCCGTCTGTGTGGGTCTCTTACCTGGTCGTTGCCACTTCCTGTGAAGTTAGACAAGGCAACATACTCTTCTGGAGACGCATCTTCGTCGTCCTCTTTCTCTGTCTGCATGTCTGGCGGCAGTTGTTTTGACTCACCTGCTGTTTGGTTCCCTGCAGGACACAAGTTAAATCTGTTCACGAGACAACACGGTAAATAAAGAAAATCGGTGTACTACTGTGAAATGAGCGGTAAAAACATCACAACACCTCAGCTAGCGCAGAACACTTCCTGTTTTTACGTCAGATGATTACCGTGCCTTCACGTGCTGTCGGAAATTCCAAAATTATAAATGGAGCGCAAATGAACGGTCCAAAAATATGACCAGCATGCGTACTCTCTACGTCATTACGTAAGCGTAAAATTACGTAAGCGTAAAATGTGTCCCACTGCATTTTATACGATTTTACAGCAAGTATTGAGTTATTGTAAAGCATAAAGAAACTTTCAATGTTCTTTTTATGCCTCTATCCATGTATACTATATCTCTTTTTCTACATATATTCCCCTAGGATTTGAGAATAAGAAAGCATTTTAGCACTCCCTGATTGTTTCTCTTTTAGAGCAAAGTAACAACAAGAAAGAATGAATGTACACACTATACAGCAATATTACAAAATATTTATTTAAAAAAATTTAACAATCAACAAATTTCACACCACAGTTTAATAAAACATAGAATCAGGGTGCAGCTCCACCTGTAGATTTCACATCATTAATTCTTAAAAACACCCCTCAGCTGATTCTTAGTCAGAAGTCACATTTTACACATTTTTAATTATTATAAGTACTTAATTCAGAGTTCTTTTCAGAAGCATGTCACACATCCTTGATAAGAAATTTCAGCTGTCTTTTGTCTTTGACTTGAGGAAGGGCTTATGCAGCACATCATAGAGTCGCTTTGCCTGCAAGCACAAAATGTCAACATGGTTAACTGGAAAACTACAGACTCTATCTTCATATGGTGCACATGTATTTGACTCACTTTCTGTGGTCCAAGGCCTGGACAGAGAACCAAGTCTTCCTTAGAGGCACTGATGATTCCTTCTACAGACTGAAAAAAAAAAAAAAAAGCACAAAATTCCTTCTCAGTATACTAACCTGGGCCCGTATTTGTCAAGCTTCTCAGAATTACTCATAAGAACAATGCTAAGAACTGACTTAAGAGTAAAAACATTCTTGGCTCAAAGCTGTGCTTAAAAGATAGTTATCAAGCATCATAGCCCCAATTTGAGTGAAGTGTAGGACTAAATCTTAAGTGTCAGTCTTAGTGCTGATTTACGACACTTTGCTGTGCCACAAACAGGATTTTGGATGACGATGTCGCCAAGGACCAATCACTAAAGATTTCCTTCTTTAAGAATATTCTCAGATAAATTCACATTGAATGGTGAAATTCCTAAGAGGAGTTTATATTCAACACACAATAACAATAAAGAATTTTCAAGATTATACATTATGATATAGGCCTATACATTAATAAATGAAAGATAAAAAATAGTTTCTTTATATGAGCGCCATCAAATGCGCTCCTGTATTGCCGGCTATAGGAACTGTGTTTGCTTCTGTCAGATTACAGGGTCGATGAAACATGTGACAATGTGTGGAGCTGTAAGTGCTAAAATTGTTTCCATGACTATTCGGCTTATTTGTGGTTGTGACGGGCCAAAATCATCAGCATTGCTGCGTTTGTCCTGTGGCAAATAAACGAAGCGTCATCACCACCTTCAATTTAACTGAAAACGCATTACTGCGTAAAGTCAGTGGTGAGATGACGTCCCTCACCAACTCGCTGACAAAGATTATGCCTGCGCGGTCCGACCCCGTCTTATTAACTGCGCGTTGTCAGAATTCTCCCTCTCCTCTCCGCATGTCTCTGTCTCAACGGTGCCATCACAAGCCCTACTGGCAACTCCTAACCCCTTGAGAGACCTCTCGAGGTGTCTTAAATAACTGGGAGAATAAGAGTGATTCTTAGCTTTGAGAAATTTGATAACTTGCTTTTATTCTTAAGTTTAAAAGTAGGAGTAAATTTCATGAATTCTAAGCACTTAAGACTAAAATGGCACTTTGAGAAGCTTGATAAATACCAGCCCTGATCTTTCCCCTCTGAGAACATCACTAAATGAAAGAAAAAAATTAGAATTCACACAACCATGTCTGTGGATATGTATGTGCGTATACACTGATGATCTTATTATTATTATTATTATCATCATCATAGGATGAATTTTTGCTTTAGTGGTACTCACAGAGAAAGTAGACAGCAAGGTAATAGCATCGGTCTTGTTTATAGACTTCACAGTGGTCAGGCAATCTGTAACCTTAAAAACAAACCAATCCAATCAACATTGCATTGTTCAAACACTGAAAAACACGGCAAGACTTTGGCAAATACTCTGATTGCAGATTGTCCTTGAAATTCCCTGTGGCTGCACTCAAACGTCTATCATTTTTTTCAAATTGGTAAAATGATCACACAAAAAATAGCAATGAACTTCCCAATCTTTGAATACAAAAGGGTGAATCCACACACCTTTGAAAGATAGTCTTTTTCAACTTGCTCCTTCAGTACGTCTGCAGGTTTCTTTTCATATGACTTATACGTTTCCAGGTAACGTCCTGCCTCCTCTGGACTGTCAAATCAACATGAAGAAATTATTAGGTTTCTTTTTTTATTTATTTTAATTCATTAGATAATTATCAGGCACAATGTTCCCTGATCAACAGACAAAAAAGAAAACAACAGACAACATCTCGTATGACTTACAATTAGATGCTTGAAGTATGGCATCAAATATCAGACTACATGTGCACATCGAGAAGTAAACATTTAGAGTATTTTATGTGTCCAGTCTTCTTGGCGATCTGTTGCAGGTCTTACCTCCAAGCCAGAATGAGAGTGCAGTCTGCCATGATGCAGATGCGAGCCAGCTCCTTCAACGCATGATGAGGATCTTTCTGTGATGACAAACCAATGTCAGTGAGAAAAAATACATTCATTCTTAAAGTTTTATAAATGGAACTATAGATTTGATGCACATAGATATGTGCCGAAAGCGTTTTCTGAAGCAGATCTTTTTCATACAGTAACTAGTATTTGTCATCTGTCATAGTATTTACTCTGGCATTTATATTTTCCCCCACATACAGTACCGAAACTGCCTCCAGCAGCACACATCAGACTTCAATCACACCACTGTTAGCGAAACTAATTCAACTGAGGAAAGACGTACCTGACAAATTAAACGTTCTGCACGGAGAGCTTGCAGCTCTCCTTTAATGGTTTAGTGTTCATCTATTCCATTTTGTTAAATATAACATTACAACTTTCCAATCCTTGTCAGCACTTTAAACAGAAATGACATTACCTACCTAAAAGCTATTATATGTCTATGAAGATTCTCAGTCATCCAGGTCATAGTTATCCAACGAAGGTTAAAGTCAAGGGCAACTGGATTTGGTTGAAGATACTGGAAGACGTTTCGTCCCTCATCCAAAGGACTTCTTCAGTTCTGACTGACTGGCAGGGAAACTCAGCTATTTAACCTCAGTGGGGTCGTTAGTCCTAACGACTGTAACGACTGTCGTTACAGCAACCAGGACAGTTGGCCAGATGTGTCCAAGGGGTTTTAAGTCTCCTAGAAACTACTAGGGCTGAAAGATTTTTAAGAAATATGTAATTGCGATTGTTTTGACTAATATTGCAATTGTGATGTGATTTGCGATACTGGAGGTAATGATAATTTTTTACACAATCATTCTCATTTTCATTGAAAAACAAATTAAACATTTAGGATGTGATTATCGCAAAGATCTGTACCAAACAAAGATATTTTCTTAAGCCTGTAGAATATGATGTGTAGGCCAGGACATCTCTGCAGCACGACAATATTACATTTAAAATAGTATTTTGACACACATTTTTCCTTTAAAAAATACTGCACCTGAAAATTGCAGTAGGCAATATTACAATTTCGATTAATTTTTCAGCCCTACCTAACAGTTAAATATTTTAAATGTTAAAACAGGAGCTAAATTAATTGAGATGGACTAATAAATGGAACATTGAAGTTAATGAATTAATTACATTATTCATTTATAACTGAGTATTTAATGCAAGGGTGTATTAATTATGTATAACGAAACACTGTAAAAGTACTTTGTTAGAAATAGGTACTCATATTAAATAAAGTACCATAGGAATGCTTAGGACAGCTTGCAAATGATCTTAAAGATTGGGTCTGGACTTCCCTAAGTGCAAAGTATGATAAATATAGTATTAACCTCAATTCTTGCAGTAGTCAAAACAATATGGTTCACAAAATGTTTCAGCTGTGTGAGCCTGAGGATGTTGACTGAATTAAAAAGGTCAATGTGAAAGTACATTCTTGACATTTGAGTTTTTTTACTTACCACATCTACTTGTACCAGTAACACTCGCAGGGTGAAAGTCTGTCCAAGCAGCTTGAGACGGTCGTGGATATAGTTTGGATTGAGATTGTGATACCTCAGACTTTAAGATAGGCCCAAAACCAACATCACGGCAAAACAAAACACACACAGGGAAAAAAGAACATATGAAATAAAGGACACAGCCACTATTAGCACTAGCACTAAAAAATTTTTTAGTGCTAAAAATAAATGATTGTGTATGACAGCCTGAAAAAAAAGCTTACACCGTTTGTAAAGACACACTATTCTTGAGTTAACCCTACCTGAGGAATAGAGCACAAGTTGTCTGGCCTAGGACATAGTCTGGTACAACATCCCCAAACTCCCAAGGGACACTCCTCACAAACTTCAGAATGGGATTTCCCCTCTGAATAAATAAAAACAAACATGTGATATGATACCAACCATTGTGCACTATTCTATGCTGATAAAAAACAACAACTTGAGAGCCTGATGCCACCATCCAGAGAAGTATCACCAAACTAATTTACCTTGCATAGTGACCGTGAATGCAAACAAGAATGTGCAGAGAATGGATAGATGACTGGATGGAGACAGTTGCCGATTTCTTGCACAAACATACCTGTCGAGGACTGACAATAATGCTGCTCCCAGATCCCACAGGTTTTGGACCCAGGCTGAGGCTCTGATCTGACCTTTGACAGTTCCCCTCTTTTTGGTCTGTGCCAGCCACCTGTGTCTCCTCACTCCTCTTAACCCCTCCAGATCCACCTTCAGTCCCTTCAGGACAGTCCTGAGCCGTTTCACATCCTCCTGGAGCAGACGACACTGATTGCTTCACATTTGTAACTCCATCACCTTCAGTCCTGAGTTTTGTGGAGGGGCCCGCTCTCTGAGGAGGAGCAGCCACATTACTTTTACTCTGGACGATATATTCTGCATATGACAAGAGCTGGTCCACGGGCTCAGATGCGCACTTTGCTGAAGATGAAGTTGAGGCGTTTTGTCCTCCTTTGGATGACGGCTGAAACTGCGGCTTTAGCTGAAATACAATCACACAGAAATCCTGTTTGAGTCTAGAAAATTATTAAATGAATAAGGTAGAACAAACACTCACGTTCCAGCAAGCTATTCTGACCAGAACTCTGTGTTGCGCAGATGGTATATTATTTTAAAAAAGGATTTGAAAATTGTTGCTACCAGTTGGAAAGTTAGCAAGCTAGCTAACTCCTAGCCGCCGAAGATAGAAAACAAACTGACCGGTGTTGTCTTTTTGGTGAAAGCAGAGTCGTCCAGGTTGATGTTAAACCTCTTTTTCATGTTTTTTAACTGATGAGGACTTTATCAGTAAACACATGCCACTGAATAGTGAGACTTGTTGTAACGTTACTCACTATCCTCTAACTACAGACAGTTTACAGCAACTACACTACAACTTCCGACCTGAATCCTTCAGAATAAAAGCACCAGATGAACCACATATATTTTTATATACAGTCTATGATATGAACAAACAAACAAAGCTGGTACACATTATAGCCCTGTCTGATGTTTTACTTTATGCTCACGTTGCCATGTAATCTATAGCTGTTTAAGGAAAAAAACACAGATCCATAAAAGTGACATTTTGAGACTTAATGTCCCCTTCCTTCCACTCAAAAATGTGTTAACTTATTGTTGATTCACTTTAAGGTTTGACCTTCACTACTGAGATTGAAGGGGAGGTTTCTATGTGCTCAGTTTAAATCTGAGATTGAAACATGTATCATCTACAAACATAATTTGCAACATCACAACTGTTTTAGTAGCCAATTGCAGTCCAATATTACACATTGGAGACATCTTGTGTTTGAAATGGAAACTATTTGCATATACATTGACATGTGGAAGGAGTAGATCAAACTTTAAAAAAAGGAATTTCTTTTGATGTGGGTCCTTAAGCATCGACTGTAATTGAGATAGACAATAGGCTACCAAAACCAGTATTTCAGAACTATAGTTGATGCTCAAATACATTTCTAGAGCAAGAATAAAACTTTCTGTCCTGTTGTTTTCTGAATAAACAGACTAAATACTGCTTGGTTATATTTTTCACACACTTCTACAATCAACACTTACTTTTATAAATTCAGATAAAATCTAATCCATGTGCCCAAATAATCTAATCAGTTTTTACACCAAGGAATGCTAGAAATTCATTATCTTGTCCATGTCTCAGCTTATAGAACTACTATGTATCTGATGCTTATAAAACAGGCCTATTTTTAACTGTGATCACTCAATGCGAAGGCCAAAGAAATTTATACAATGTGGTTCAGAATCACTGAGACAAACAGATTAAATCATGTTTCAATGTTGTCAATTGTGTGGGTGATTGGTACAAGATGTGGTTCCTGCACTGCAGTTAAACCACCCAAGGTAAAAACATAGAGAAGAAATAGGCTAGTGTGTATTGTTATATATGTGGTTGTTAGGCAGTAACCAACCCATCTTCTATATTTTATATTTTGTCAATTTACATGTTTATATAAATACAAATTCTCTCCCCAGTAATATGTCTGCACAACATAAACCTGGAGTAATGCACTTGTAAATATCTGCCACATTGTTCTTTCTCTACACACAGTTATATTAATCTTTTATAACTTGCATCTGTTTAATCCATATTTATATAGTTGTATATTTATTTATTGACTGTATATTTGTCCACATGTTGCACTTCATCACCAAAGCAAATTCCTTGTTGTACTACTTGTCAATAAAGCTCTTTCTGATTCTGATTGTTATACTGCAGGTAAGTCTCAGAGCATGCACAAGTCATTTAGTTTACCAGTGCATGAGAAATGTTTAGTGAAGTGTGAAAGGTTTCAGATGCTGGGGCAGTTAAGGTTTTTTGAGGTTTGCTTTTTCTTATGTCATTTCATTTTTATGTGTTGTGTCATTTCAATTATTAAAAAAATGCTGAATGAAATAATGTTTCTCTCTGGACCAGGGTACAAAAACCATAAAAACCAAGTGTTTGGGTGCATCAAAAACCTGAGTGCAGTAAGTAAAGGATCAGACACATACACAGCTATACATTTATGACCACCAATGTAAAATAAAATATAAGATAATGCACATTAAGACAAAAAACACAAAACATAGCTCGTGCTCCAATCAATCCTCTGGAGTTTGTTACCATGGAGTTGCCCAGGAGACGGTGACGCCGCCATTCAAACCGCGAAGCATGGCATGCTGGGATACCTTTCTCCATCATGGCGGATCAGGTGGTTGGCTAACACATTCAACGATTGTTTGCTTTCACACAATTTAGGACCGCAGCCGTCTGGCGTTTTCTACACTGGGACTGCAGCCGCCGAACAAACCCCGGGTAATTATGTGCTACAGAATCGTCAGCTGTGATGAGTGAACGGACTTGCTTTGTTGAAACAATTAGCAGCTAAGTGTGTTAGCACGCTAGCGAGTTGAATAGCGACGACCGTGCTAACTTAGCAAGCGGTAATCAGTTGTGGATAATGGCCGTGGATCGCCGCTTAGGCCGCGGCGTGCTGTCGGCATAGCTTATCAACTGGTAAGCGTGCACAATAATTAACGTTATAAGGAAAAGCGGTTTTATAAAAATCACATTGCTGTATTAATGAAAACTAACGTTAGCTAGCTGCAGTGATCTGTGAATGAATGTTAACGCTAGCTACAGCAGTGCAGGCCCGACAGTGTTTAGCGTTATCTAACGTTAACGTGTTAGTTGAACTGTCTGCTGCGGCTTGAAACTTTTTGTCTCCTTTTGCTTCTATTATCAGTGCAGATTTGACTTGCGTATAAATAATAGCATTTTTTGTGTGGCTTAACACGTTGACATAATGTGTCGGGAATAGAAGAGCAAACTTAACGTTATTTGAAATCCAAAATAACATGTTGGCAACCGTAATGTTACATTTGATGGCTAACTTAGCTTTAGCATCAACTGAAGCAGCAATGTCCACTAACGTTAGCTCAACCTAGATGTGCTGGCCACATTACCTTTAATGTATCTTGTAAATTGAGTATCGTTGTGTTTGGATAAGTAACTATTGCTTAATCTAAATTAATTGTTTACGCAAATAAAGCGTGTAACGTTACGTGATTTGAGTAAACTGAGATTTTGGCTTCGTTGCCAGCGTTTGTGAGCAGCAGTACTTCTCACACGTTATGTATGGTGGTAGGAGTAATGCTGGTTGTATTAAAGCTCTACGATTGTAGGACGACTGCTTTCTTTAGTCATTTTTTTTGGTAATCGCGATTAAAAAGAATACCATTCTATATGTATGTACTTGATAGGCTTATTGCCAACAATAAAATAAATATTAAAGATAACATTTATTTGAGGGAACTCTGTCAATTCTGAATGATGTTTTGGAGTAAGGAAATATTGATTATTTAACTGGTGTGGCTAACCTCTGTCTCCTTTGGGTTAGAAGCGGTCTCGTTGTTAAGTCCTAGATGGTTACTTGTAGGACTTGTACTACCAGTGCTGGAAGACTATGCTTATATCTGTCAAACCTCTGGCCACATCTAGGTCAGCGGTGTTTAGGCAGGTATTTTGTCTTTGGCAGCTTTAGATGCGTGCAGTCTATTTATTCCCTAAAGATAGCTGATCTGTTAGAAGACACATGCCACTTTTCACTTGCACTTCTCATTTTACTTATTTGAATCCTTCAAAATTGTGTACTGTAAACTGACTTAAAAGTGTTTTTAGAGACAAATCATAAGCAAAAGGTAATACTCAGTAATCTTGTCAGCATCTGATCTCTGTACTGGGACATAATGTAGGTTTATCTAAGCATCTTAATTTGCCAGCCAAACCCTCAAGTTTTTGACCAGAAGAGTAAAGTTGTTGTGGCCGGATTACAGTATGTGGTGAAAAAATTAAATGTGTTTATTTAAAATCAGTAATTATCAGTCCGGTTTAGGAAGGAGAGATAATGAGACCTGCCAGGGACAGAAGGTTTGCAAAGGAGTACCCTGATATATGAATATAAATTTTTTTTGCATATTTTTTTTTCTTTGTCTAATTTCAGCACAAATTGGTAACGGATCATTTCCAGTCTTGAACCTATAGATCTTCTTGGACATTTCTAGTCTTTACTATTGATTTTAGTCCCAGATGGGTCATATAAATAGACTGTATTTAAGAAGTGGACGTAGTCATCGTGACGTCACTTGTTGGTTTGTGGACTGCCGTTCTGAAGCTAGTTTGGCCGATAGGCTGCCGCCTGTTGATTATTTTGCAACTAGCGGCACCGGACGTGACCATATTTGGACGAGATGGTGTAGCTAATGGCTGTCTGCTGAGGCTTGCTTAGCTAGGTGCATCTGTAATTCATGTTAACTGTCATTTTAACAGGGCTGACAGTTTTGTGTAGCGAACACCAGGCTTAAAACTAACTCACCAGTGAAAGTGAATGGCCAACTCCTAACACGCTTTTTCAACAGTGCTGGTTAAATTTACACATTGCTGTGGGTACGAGTCGCTGTAGCCTGATTGACAGGTCGCCATGGTAACGACTTGTCAATCATAGATAATCCTGCCCTGAAGCATACTCTGCTTTATGGTCTGTTTACCTCTAAATGGGACCATCATTTACTAAATGAACATCATATTGTATTGAAGAAGACATGAAACGAGTGATTGAGACCATAAACTCATTGGGAAAGTGTTTACTGAGGTAATTAATCAGCTAAGAAGTAGGGTCATTTTACCATTATTTCTAATGGAGCCGGACTTCTTTTTGCAACCAGAAGAGTTGCCCCCTAGAGGCCATTTGATAGTATGCAGGTTTAAGGGACTTCTGCATTCGCATCAGTTTGCTGACCGGAAGTTTCCCGCTTGGTCATATACAACAACAGTCTAATTCAACAGACTTGCAATAAATCATAACCTTCATGAAGGTTAGTCAAGTCAAATCTGTTTTATTTGTCTCTAGACCAATATCACAAATCACACATTTGCCTCAAGTTTGTTTGAACTGGTACAGAGGGGTATTTATTCAGCTTCATGGTAATTTTGGAAGCTGTAGTTTGTTGTACTGCTGGTTATACTGTGAGAGATGTTTCTAATATTTTGCTTACCACATTTATATTAATTTGGACAGACTGCTCCCCATTAAATTAGTGAATGGTATTCATATACTGATAACAGCATGACTGGCCAGCTATTTTGCTCGTGACCAAAGACGTACCAGTTTTAAGTTCCTCTGCTTTATCAGTTTTATTGTATTGGAGAGTTGATGTGACTCTTTCAATTATGGATGTATTAAGGAGACCTTTGATAAACTCTCTCGTCAATTGTACATGACGACACATTCTTGAGCCAATGACTATAACAGGGTTTCTGCAGGTTCTTAAAGTCTAAAATCCAATAACCAGAATGTTATGCCTTAAAACGTCTTAAATGGGATTATGAAGTTAATGTTACCTTTATGAAGTTCAACTAAATCTTGCTTTTAAATGTATTTTAGAGAATAAAAATAGTATTGATCATGCTGTAACAACCACAAAATGAAACCAACATGGAACACTAACCACTAATACAAAATGTATCTGTTAGTAAGACTGGTCTGTGGGTAAGTGCAAGCGAGATCTGGCTTGAGAATGGCGCATTTAGTGGTTGGTTGCAGCTGAATTTGAAGCCCGCTGCACCTTGTGCAAGAAAACACTAAAGATAAAAATTTTGCGTAACCGTTGAAGATATTATAGTCGCATGGGAACAACATAAACCTGCTGTAAAAAGCCACTAGCAAAACATCTGCCATCACCCAATATTGTTCTGTAATCATATTGGGAGCATCAAGTCTGTTGTTTCCCCAACTGCTGCAAAAGTGAAGGCGGTTAGTGCAAGCTAACATCTTCCCTGTACAGCACGTTTTTTTGGCTGTTAAGTTATGTTAAGTAGCCGTATGTCATTAAGTAACTAACTTGCCTACTTGTCCAGGGTTGACAACATCAGGTACAAGCTTAGACTAAACTGATGTACAGCTTTGTCCTGTACACATACTGTACATCCTGATATTACATTTCAGTTTTCAGAGGAGTTTGACAACTGGTTAGTGGTGAAGGTGGAATGAAGGTTGTGACCATGGAGCTGAGGTTAATTAACTAAATTAGGGATGCAAACTAGTCCTAATTAGGAGATGTTTCTTTTGTATTTTAATGCAAATTAAATGCTTCGTTATTATCCAGAGATCCTGTATAGAAAAAAATTATGCATCAGTAATCGTTTAATAATTGCATCGCAGCCCTCTGAATTGTAATCGAATCTTGAGGTGCCAAGAGATTTCCACCCCTACTAAACATCAGTCATACAAAAGCAATAAAGACGTAGGTGAGCTATTTCAAACAGTGTTCCCTGATGAAGTATTTCTAAATTGCATTCATAATGATCTTAGTCTTACATTTAACTTGTTGAAACCTGCAGAAACCCTGTATAATACAGCACTTGTTACATCACTACCAATCTGTTTTTGTGATGATACGGATCAGTTGGGGGGCTTGCAGCCCTGCTACCAGGCGGGACCACAGCAGCTCAGCACAGCTATACCGTGTGTGTGTGTGTGTGTGTGTGTGTGTGTGTGTGTGTGTGTGCGCGCGCGCGCGCTAAAGCTGGCCATTACAAGCCCATGGAAAAACCCTGTTGGTAGTTGTGGATGTAATCAAGATGGTGTTACTTACATTTTGCTGTAGCATGGCCATGAAATCTATACTTTTTCTTGTGTTGATGCTGCATTCTTTGTTGCTTAAGTTACAATACTTCTGATTCCCTCGCCAGTTTTGAGTGAGGGAGCAGCACACCAGTGACATTAAGAGGACCGTCTACAAAATCAGGGTCAGCAGCACGATGGAGTGTGCAGTGGACATCCCCTCAGGTGAGTGACGGATAGGAAACAAAGAAGTCTGTTTAATTTTACACATTTTGATCCCCCCCACATGTTCATAATTTTAATGAAATAAGTCACCCAAATATAACAGTATGGCCTGAGTTTTTGAGGGTATTCCATCTGTGTGGAAAAAAACTGCATTATGTCAAATACTGCATTCTCAAGGTGAAATGCTAACCAATGTCTGCCAAACATCCCTTAGCCATATATCACTATTTTTATCACTCTTTGTGTACCTTGAACAGTTTCCACAGGATTCCGGGGAACAGTGCATGGTATAATGAACAAAATAATCGAGCCTTCAGATCAAGCTAAATTAAATGCACTAATTTTAAGTGCAGCACTAATTGAATAACTTGCTCTATGTTTTGTACATGTTATGGATTTGCTAAATACGCTGAAATATTGGCTGCTCTGTGCAGGTGAGGATGAATTACCTGAGAAAGAGGACATCAATGCCAAGGAAGGGAATGAGCCACCCCACAAGAAAAACAAGAAGCACCGAAAACACAAGAGCAAGAAGAAGAAGAGGAAGAGGAAGGGGGAAAAGGAGAGCAGTTCAGAATCTGGTCCTGAGTCAGATGTAGAGCCACCACCTCCGCCAAGACCTGTCCGAACCACCAGAGCCAGGTCAGAAGAACTCAAATTTTGATATAAAATATGTTCTGTAAACTAAATGTACTATTGTCTCAGACTTTATAGAAGTATTGTTTAAATGTTATGAATTTTTACTATTCCTAAAATTGAAGTTAGCGGAAAAAAAATAAGGCCTATTACAATATATATTTGTTTCAGAATTTTAAATTTCATATCTCTGGCTGTTCAGATCCCATATTCAGGCCATGGCTACAGGTTTTGATCATGGGCCATTATAATTATCTAACAAAAGCACAGAATAAATCTTAGTGGAATCTTGGTAGGTTTAAGATGATTGATTTACATAAAGAAAACATTGTGTGGAATAGGAGGTGTAAGAGACACTAGGCACCAAGCCACATCATGAGACATGTTACGAACTAGAATATGGTTTGAATTCTAAATTCTGGGAAAAGCCACCAGTCACACTAAATGGATTTTTGTGCTTGCCTAAAAAAGATTTTGTACCTTACCCAAACTGAAAAAGTGACCTACTTGTGTTTTGTTTGTACTGGAAACATTAACAAGGAAAGACATTTTTCTGAACACTTTCCCTTTTCTTTGTGTTTGTAGTGCCAGACTGGCAGCAGCTGCAGGAGACCATGCTGTGCTGAAGGAGGAGGGCAAAAAGGATGTGATTACAGGTAGGAGACCCTCACACACCATCATAATTCATATTTACTTACTAGTAATGGATAATAAAAAAGTAGATTTAAAAAAAAAACCCATCACTTCTCCTCTCAGATCGTGTGGACACGGAGGGCGATGCAAAATCCAAAAAACACAAAAGACACGCTGCCAAGAAGAAGAAAAAGAAGAGGAAGAAAGATGAAAAGCAGGAAAAGAAATCCCCGTCTCACTCCCCATCTGAAAGCAGCTCAGCTACAGGTTCAGAGTCTGAAGGTGAAGGAGGTAAAGTGGCTGGTGATGGCAAATACTCCCCAGCTGCAGCATCTGATCTGCAAGAAGCAGTGTCCAAACTGGTTCCAAAAAGCAAACGAGGGGAGGAGAAGGTGGTTTCCATGGTTACACAGAAACCTGAAACTCCTGGAGTGAAGAAAGAGGAGCTATCCGATATGGATGTGTCCCCATCTGGAGGGAAGGGCATTAACACCAATGGATCAGAAAAGGATATGAGGTTGCCCTCTGCAGGCCAGGATGAGATGACGCAGACAGCGACAGTTAAGGTTAAGACAGAGGGTAGTCATGCTGATGGTGCATTCAGCCATGCACAGGAACTCCCTGACATCATCCCTAAACTGGAAGGTGCTACCCCAAGAGATGACTCGGGCCTGAAAGATCAGGCCAATTCAGTTCCGAAGGCAAAGGTCAAGGAACGTGATTCATCCAAGTCCAGGTCTCCTTCCCCATCCAGCGGCCTAGACATTAAGAGGTCTGGGTCAAGTCATAGCCGGTCACCAACACCTAGTCCCAGTAGGCAGCAGTCTGATGGTCAAACAGCAGCAGCAGTTATGAAAGAACGGCCGAGAACCCGTTCTAGGTCAACCTCAAAGGGAAAACGTTCTACAACTCCTTTAATGAGTCGGCAGCTGTCTCGCTCAATGTCCCGCTCTCTATCCCGTTCTCAGTCGCCTATATCTAAGAGGAAGTCACTCTCCCCTTCCCCGAAGTCTCCCAAGCGAGCAAGCTGTCAGTCTCGTTCCACCTCACGCTCACCCACCCCCAAGAAGAAGGTTTCAAAGCCAATAAGGAAATCCAAGTCCCCTAAACGTCGGAGGAGTTCCTTGTCTGTTTCCCCGAAGCGACGCAGAAGTTCCCACTCTCCTAAAAGAAAGGTGTCACGATCCCCTAAACGCAGTGGCCGCAGGTCTCCCTCTCTATCTCGTTCTCCAAAGAGAGGTCGAAGGTCAGAGTCACGACCCCGTGGAGGCACAAGGCGTTCCAGGACCCGTTCACCTAGACGTGGCGGTGCAGTTGGCAGGCGTTCACGGTCACGTTCCATCAATAGAAACCGCCGATCCCACTCTAGATCAAGACGCCCTGTTCGTCGCTCCAGGTCACGATCATTGGCAAGGCGTGCAGGAGGCAGACGCTCCAGGAGTCGATCCTTGTCTCGACGTAGGAGGTCACCACCTCCCAGATCCCGCCGCTCACGCTCCCGGTCCATTCGCAGAAGCAGACGGACTCGATCAAGGTCCGTTGTCGTCCTTAAGCGCAACCGCCGCTCCAGATCGAGGAGTCCCCGCAAACGGACCAAATCCAAAACCCCTCCCCCCCGGCGGCGGTCTAAATCTCGGACGCCAGTCAGAAGGCGCTCTCGGTCACCTGCCAGGAGAAATCGTTCTCCACCAAGGTCCGGCAAACGCTCCAAATCCCGCTCGTTGTCTCGGAGGAATCGGTCAAAGTCAAACTCACCACTACCTGGCAAGAAGAGGTCCAAATCTCCTAAAAAGAGTCGAAGAAGGTCAAAGTCTAAATCTGTCTCGGTGGGCGCAAACAGATCGAAGTCCAGGTCTGAGTCAAGTGACGGGCAGTCAGACAGCTCCTCTCCAGCGAGGTCCACATCTGTCTCTCCTGTTAAAGAGATGACGCTTTCCTCGCCTAAGGCAGAGCAGACAGCTGGTGGGAAGACAGCTGGAGAAAGTGGAGGACCTTCAGCTGCAGCAGGTCAGACTTTATTCATTGCTATGTTTTTAAAACAAACTGATTGATTTTGGACCATAAGATGTGCTCATTTACAAAGGGTGTCACCCTTCATCACAAAAACAAGCGAAACTCAACCATCTATATTCTACAAACTTGCAAATGTTATTTGGAAATTTGTAAAATTGACCAGAAAGCAATATTTCATGTTACACTCCACTCCTCTGGCCTCCAACACAATCTGAAATGCTAATTATCATCTTCCTCCTTGTTTGTTCTTCTAGACATGCAGTAATTATTTATTATTGGATATTTGTACTGTAAACAGAGTTTAAAGTACATCAGTCTCCAGTGATTTGTGTTACTGTTGCCTTAAATAGCCTACATGTCTTTATGCCTTGTCATTTAACCTGTAGGTGGGTGGAAACCTGTGCCCTCAGCTGTGCCCTCAGCAGTTGCCTCCAGCCCCCAAGCTGGGAGCTCCTCAGACACGTTGCAGGAGCCGCCTCAGACGCTTGCTGAGGAACAGAGAGAGCGTGTCGGCTCATCCAATGAACGAGATGTTTCCAGGTCTAGGTCTGGTTCCAGAGAGCCTGGCACTGGCCCAGATGGGTCCGATTGTTCTGAAGGCTCAGATGAAGAAGAGGATTCTACCTCTCCGGTTAAAACGGCCCCTCGACGGCAGAGAAGCTCCTCAGGTTCAGCATCTCCACGAGTGCAGAAGAAGCAGCTTTCCAAGTCACGCTCGCCTACCATTCGCCGAAAACTGTCACGCTCAACTTCTTCGCCCAGACGATCGACATCCAAGTCTAAATCCAGAAGGAAGCAGTCTAGGTTTGTTATGTGTGTGCATGTGTTTGTACCTGGCCTATATCATGAATGTGTGGCTGCTAAAAGAGCTTTAAATTAAATCACTGTCAGGTCTTAAAAGGAATTAAATGTTAGACATCATGAAACAGGGACTTGAAAGGGATCTAATCGCCAGCCCCAATGCTCACATTATGCTGCACTGGTAAGTATGATTTTAAAAAGTCACTATTCTGCATATTTACGATGTCTTATCATTCACCTTTCCTCAGGTCCAAGTCTCCAGTGAGGAAAAGAGAATCCATCTCTCCATCAGAAAGGAAGAAGCGACGTTCTAAATCTCGGAGTCCTGCCCGGCGGCGGAGGTCCCGCTCACGCTCGGCCACATGGCGTAAGCAATCGGGCTCAAAGTCCCGAACCAAAATCCGCCGCTCCAAGTCCCGCTCTCCAGCCCGCAAGAGGCGATCTCGTTCGCCCAACGGACGTGGGAGGAGAAGGTCCAAGTCCATAGAAAGAAGCAAGCGATCCAAGAGTCGCTCCACAGGCCGGAGGAAAAGGTCCAGGTCAGGAGACAGAAGCAGGCGATCAAGGTCTCGGTCTTCTGATCGCAGACGCAGGTCTAAGTCAAGGGGTCGAGGGAGGCGGCCAGTGTTTCGCAGTCGTTCGTTCGATAGGCGGGACAGGTGGAAAAGGGAACCTAGCCACTCTCCAGTTCTCATTCTCCGCAAACAGCGCCGTTCAGGGTCCCGGACACGACGCAGCACCAGCAAGACTCCTCCAAGGCTCACTGACCTGGGTAAAACATTTTGATTCAAACGCTTATATTTGTGATGTTACATTTATGAACATTCATGCTTTCATTTTTAGTATGATTTGTTTTTTTGATTTTTCTTCAGTTTTCACAGCTTGTATGCTAAATCTTGCCATTTGTCTTTCTCTACATAACCTCTCTGTGCCCTGTTGTTGCATTACCCCTCCCTCTGGCTCTCCTCTGACCTCTCTTTTTTCAGATAAGGACCAGTTGCTGGAGATAGCTAAAGCTAATGCTGCTGCCATGTGTGCTAAGGCGGGGGTGCCCATTCCTGAGAGTCTTCGGCCGAAGACCATCTTCCAGCTCCCTCTACCCACTCCATCTCCTACCCCGCTCTCCTTACCATTACCTTTACCTCTCCCAATGGGCATGGGGATGCCCAACATGCCGAATATGCCCAACATGGGTCCAATGGGGATGTCCAATATGTCAGGAATGCCCAGCATGTCAAACATCACCATGAGTGCCGCTATGGCAAGTATGACCGCAGCTACTATGACAGCTGCTTTGACCAACATGGGTGCCCTGGCGGCCATGCCTCCCCTTGCCCCACTTCCTACCATCACCAACAAGCCTCCCCCGTGTCTCGCACCCCCGACACCAGCCCTTAATCTGGACCACATCGAGGAAGCAAAGAGGAAGGTCACTCAGCAGGCTAACATACACACCATCAAGGAGCTCACTGAGGTACTGATGTTGCACTGATGTTTTTTGTTTGAAAGAATGTTAAGAGAGAGTGATGTTTGTGTTTTGTAGTAGAGCTGTGCCAACCCAAAGTAACTGATTTGTTTTTCTGTGTTTTTGTAGAAGTGCAAGATGATTGCAAATAGCAAGGAGGAGATGGCCATTGCTAAACCCCATGTCTCAGATGATGAAAGCTAAAACTGCCAAGTCCTCACGGTGAATTTTTCAGTCTTTATTCTTCAATTTCTTTGTCAGTCTGTGTCCCCTGCTTTTTTATTGGTGTTTCCTCTTCATTCTGTTGTGGGCATTGTTTCTTTAATCACTGATGTATTTGACATGCCATTGGCTCTCATTTACAAAAGTGCTACATTTTCAGTGATTGAATTATACATATATTAACATTTTTAAGCTTATGAAATTGATGTCAGCTGTAACATACTTGGCCATCTCAATATGAAATCATTTTCTTTTTTCTACCACACTCTAATCAAGTGGTTATCCTTCCACTTTTGTCTTTCATCATGCTTGCATAAGAAACATTCTTCCTTTTGCTTTATAGCCTTTCCCTTTGGCTCAGCACTCCCACTGTGACCCCTTTTCCCCCTAGTTATCCATTCCTCTTCCCCACATCCTTCATCATTTATATTTATGATTAATTCAGTCATTTATCAGGTACCCATTAAAATACAATGAACCCATTAATTATTTTGAGATGTTTTTTTAACCTAGTCTAATTTTCTCATACATTTTCATCTGTTTAAAGACCCAACAGACTTTTTGGCTTTCTGGTTATTTTACCTGATATCTGACAACAAGATTGGTACTAATCATTATGACATGGTAGTTCTGCATGTTTGATACCACACTGTAGCATCCAGCGTTAATGCAAGTTGTCATTGTTATCCTTTTTTTCCCCCCACTCATTATTTTTAAGCATGCTAACCAGGCAGACTCACTAAACTTTAGTTCTCATTTTTCATGGTTCAGACAATTATACTGTGCTTCATGTATGCTAACAAGGAAAATGCCATCAGCCCTCCCCTCTCTGAATTGTTCCTCTGTATATTAAGTAGACAAGACCTAGTAATCGTTCTCTGTCGACATTAATTGATGATCTTGTCTCGAATACAAATTAGACAAAATGTTTTGTACCAACTTTGACCTTTTCTCTCTCTTTGTCTGCACACAGCCACTCCCCTCAAAGGACTGAAGGAAGATGTAAATGCTTTACAGTTCTCTTTGGCAGCCAGAGTGAGCTTCATAAACCTCCACCAAGAAGAAGAAGAAGAGCACCCTAGTTGTCACAAATATAGGAACACCGGCACCAGCCACTGTCCCACTCAGCTTCCCATTTTTTTTTGTTTGTGTAAAAGAGTGAGACTGGCAGACTGTCACCTGTGATACCACTGAGAATACTGTACACACTGACACGTGTGCACAGTTGTATGACTGTATAGTGAGTGTGAGTCTGTGTGTATATAGTGACTTTCACCACCAACTCCTCAGTGGTGCTGCTCATTTAAGCAGTCACTGTTGTAAAGACTGAGAGGAAACCAAACCAACTAGTGGCGCAAGTGTTTTTGTAAAAGATTAGTTTCTCTAAATTTTTGTTTTACTTTTATGCTTTCTTAAAGGATTGTGTTATGTGAGACTGCTTCCCTGTTCTGCTGTATTCCCCTCAGCCATCTCTAGTCCCTGATTTTATAAACAAACAATGCAGGCGACGTTTTGGTAGATCCTCACATGTTGTTTTCACAGACCTGGGGCTCCAGGGCGAGAGTGACCACATGTTGTGAATTCTGCAACAGAGTGCCAGATCAGATTATTTTGAAGGAAGGAGATGACTGAATATATTTGCTGAAGAAGGTTTGTTTGAATTGTGACTATGACAAAGATTACCATCTCCATTCACAAAACAACTAATTCAGTTAATCTGCCCTGGGTGTGACCCCCCCCCCCCTTTTTTTTAAAAGACACCAAGCTAATCTTTGACTCTCACCTGGTCTTTCATTCGGGCTTTGTTGTTGGGGTTTTTGTTGCACTTGGAAACATGTTAGTAGATTTAAATTGACATTTCATCTGCCATTCTAAAAGCAGAAAAGTATAATATATGAAATGATTTGAGATGCACAAAAGCATACCATTGCCATTAGTATTTGCTGGAAATTGCCGTGAAAATCCCAGATTCAGATCACAACTAATATTCGATTGAGTGGACCTATGCCAAACCCACCAAGCTTAAACTAGATCAATATTACATTTCTTTTTCCTGATAAACAATGCAACCTCCCTTAAACTTTCCCCTATAAAAATTATTACTCGTTTAGAAGAACATTTCCATTTCACTGTGTAGCTGAATACATCTTAAACAATTGGCGTTTTTAAATACACTTTTGCTTTTGCCTTTCTGTTGCTGTTTACGTTATGAAAACATTTTCTTTCAGTGGCTTTTTTTCCCTTTTTTTTAGAGGCACATAAGAAGAACACCATTCATGTTATTGTGCTGAGGGGTGACAGATGACTTGTAGTGGTTATAAAAGTAAATGTAGAAAGTTCAGGATGTCCTGAACTGTGCCATTGTTCAAAGTTTTTGTGTATTAGACAATCAGTTTCTTTGTCTCAAGATGCTATTTTTGGAGCAAGAACTTCTAACCACATGCAATTTACACAATTGAATTTTATGCAGGTCACAAATAGAGAATCGTTTTGAATAACAGAATGAGTAGTATTGTGCAAACATAAAATAACCCCCAAGAAGCCCTTTTCATTTAATCAACAGGTAACATTTAATATCTGCTTTACTTGTAAGTGTTGTTTCCCTAGCCTGTAGTAGGTCTTCATTGCGAGTTGTGTCTGGGTAACGGAGTCTGTGTTTCGCTGGATGCTTTGGTCCCATTGGATAACTAAAGAACAAAGATGAATTTGGTGCTCTTGAACAAAAATGGCAGGGATGAGGTTTTTCTGTTTTTTAGGACATCTTGCCCTCGGCTCGTTTATTTTCATTGCAGAGGCAAATAATTCTGGATCCATCCTCCTTTGTCGACCTCCCATGCCCAGGGCTGTTTAACTGGAAGATAATCCGTGAAGGGTTTTGTAACTGTAACTACACGGACTCTGTACCAAAAGTGTTGAACTGTTGAATTGATTCCCCGAAGTAATCTTTAAACATTTTAATGACAAAAAAAAAGAAATTGCATTTTATGATTCTTTTTTTTTTTTTTTGGGTCATGTAAGTATGACATCGCTTGCTTTGTACATAAATGTGTTGATGATTATTAAAAACCTCAGTGATCCGTACATACTTGTGTCTTGTGCTATGTTCACTTCAGTCAGGTCCTAATGTATTGCTGCACATTTCCAATTTATGGAACATTTATTAAATGCCTTTTAGAAATGGGAAGGGGTATCGATGAGTTTTGTGTGACCCAAACTTATTGATCAGACAAGACAAGGCGATGCAGGGGGCTGTGTATTCTTTTAATTTACTAATGTAGTTGCACATGTTACATATTCACTGAGTTATAAGCAACCTTTTACTTTTTATTTTATGTTTTTTTCTCCCTTCTATTTATTAACATTCAGTTAATGAAAGTAATTTAAAGCTGACATGGTTATGGAAATAATCTGTCATCTGTTGTGAAACTGAAGTGGTTTTATCAATAATAAAGGGACATCTAATGTCCACGACCATAAGGGGATGGATTTTAGATGTATAGAGAAAAAGACATACATAGAATGAAATGTGAGAAGTAGATTATGTTGTTTTGAAAGAGCAAAGTTTTTGTAGAAGCTTTAATGAATTAAATTTTCCAAACCACTAGTGAGAAATGAACCGTCCAATATTCAGTCAAATGTCCTCTGTTTCCACCAAGGGTAAAAAAGTTTGTAAATCTGCTGATAGGAAGACAGTTGGGAGAGTGCAACTTGTTTAGAAAAAAGATTAGATACTTATTTTAAAGAGGTCTGTACCAAATTCATGGAGAAGTATTTCTTTTTAAAATGTTGGAGTGTTTTAAAAATGCCATTGGAGCCAGAAAAACTGTATGTTAAAACAATCAAATTCATGACAGATATATTTTGTATAAAATGCTTTTAAATCACAATATGCAATATTGAGCTGTGTATCCGCATGTTCTAAGCCCAATATGTGCATGAAACTCTACATCCCAGCTCCAAACTGTCACTATAACACACACCATTTCATGATCAAATGGCTAATAACTTTAGTTTGCAAAGAATCCACCAGAAGGTTTTGTAATGTGTGAGACCGTGCATGAGTTTCCTTTGTTTAAAATTAGACTGCACTGCCAGGTATGAATGGGGTCATGGAATAAATGGTAAGTGAAGTGACATTGGCCCAGTTGTGCACTGCTCAGCAGTGAGCGACCAGCTTTCAGATATAAACTGAAAACCTTTACAGCAGAGATGGAGCCCAACAGCAGAACCTGACTGTACAGTCCTATTGATTTGCAAGACTGTGTGCTTGTGTGTGGGCAGTTTGTGAGTTTGCCTGTGTGAAAGAAAACACACTGTGTCATTTCCTGGGTGCTGGTATAGTTAAAATGTTCTTTCAAGCAAATTATTTAAGCTACAAAATACCTGTAGTTATGAAACCCTCCAACAAGTGGTGCCCTTTCTCTTTGTTTCCACTGTATTTTATGGTGGAGGTCAGACCCTCTCCATCTACAAAAAGCACCAGATTGAGCTGGAAGAGTGTTAAAATAAGTAAAGTAAAAGGGCTTTGACACATTAAACACTTTATTTTCAGTAAACAACTTTTCTGATTTATGATGTCGAGCGAAGATGTGTGACCAGGGCAGTCTTCAAAAGGCTTTAATATGTGGATCTGCTCACTGAACTGGATCAAAATTTTTTAAAAACTCCAGAGTGAGAGCTTCCGCCTCAGTCTTCATCATGGGGTTTAAAATACCAATCGCATGGCATATACTCAGATGATAGAATCATTACCATAGTCATGGATTAAGGGGCTTTGGACTGAACAGTGCTGTGGATCAAAAGAAACAAACACTAAAGAAAAGAGGAAACACCAGCCTCAGTTCTTTTTATGTCTTACACAGTTTTCACAAGTGAAGTGACCCCTTATTTTGTTGGCTTGTTTTGATGGTAATTGACACCAAGGGCGTCACTTTGTGTTGAAAAGTAGTGGGGACATAAGGGCTCAGTTTAGGGGTATGACTATACACTTAGCTCACAAGATGTGACGATGCACAATATAGGGGTCACAAGAACACGATTAGAAGATACTTTAACACTATTTTAAAGAAATATTCAATGCTAAGATATATGAGTGGTGGTCTGTGGGTCCTCCCCCAGAAAATTTGGAGCATTAAACACTTAATTTCCTGCATTCTGGAGAAATTTTCTGCACCAATTTTTGGTGGAAATAAATGTCTTTATTTATAGGCTTTAAAGGGAAACACAAAATTCATGTGGCAGGTGACAATTCAAAATGTAAAAATATAATTGAATATAATGCAATAATTAGTAGCTTGTTTTTTTATCTTAAGTTACTCTTTTATCATAGTTATTTCTTCTATATTTGCATTGCCTGTTTTCTTTTAGTGCAAATAATCCTTTCTCAGGGTTGGTTATCAGAAAATGTTCTTACAAATGCTTTCATAAAATGATGGGGACAAAATTTTTGGAGCCAGGAACACTGTTTACCTTATCTTTTCTTCACACAAAGCAATCCCAGTCCCGGCTATTCTCATCTGTGACACCACGATGGTGGAACGAGCTACCACATGCCATCAGAGCAGGGGCGTCCCTTTCTAACTTCAAGAAGCTCTTGAAAACTCATCTCTTCCGAGAACACTTCGTCTTATAACACCTCTAACTCCTAACCTCTAACATGCACTTCCTGTGCTCTTCTTCTTCTATCCCCTACAATGATCTTGTATTGATTGCACTTTTTGTTTTGATTGCACTTTTTGTTAACTCTTACTTCCTTCCCTAGGTATCTACCCCATTGATGTGATATGTACCGTGAGCTCTTACTAGTATTTATTGCTGCTCTTACTAGTATGTATTGTCAGTTATAGATCTGTAGTTGATGCTCTGTTGATGCTTGTATGTTGTTCCTCAAATGTAAGTCGCTTTGGATAAAAGCGTCTGCCAAATGAGTAAATGTAAATGTAAATCTTTTGTAGCCTACTGCCTATATTTTTTAAAATTCTGTTGGGTGTGGGGTAGCCAGGCATGGGTGGAATTAATTCATTTAAAATTTGGTGGTTGTACACCAACCAAAATGGCATGTTTAATACAAGGGAAGAAAGAGGTGCTGCAAATTTGAAAATTACATTTGATTCAAGCTTGTTTCATTGCAAAACAATAAGTAACTAACACGTTCTACAGATTCAAGGAAGTCGTATAAAGTTGTTGAAAAGATACATAGGCCTGATGTTTTTTAATTAAATATATGCCAATACATAACTTTAAAATAACACATAAACTACTGTAAATGTAAATCTTATTTGCAATAAAATAAAATTTATTGATCAATGAATTATAGTGATAAATGAGGTATCACTGAAACACCTGGTAATAATCACCGACACGCAGATATCTAACTGTGTCTTGGTCTATACATTTCATCCACAATGAGAAGAGACTGACTTATCGCTCATACACGTGAACATATTTATTTTGAACACAGTCTATATGCCTGATGCAATCCTTTATCACCACATCTTCCAAAAATACAACATTTCCTTTCACTGTTTCGCAGATGACGTCCAAATTTACCTACCTTTGAATACTAAAACAAACTCAGTTGAAGCGCTGAGAAAATGTCTACATGAAGTAAATGACTGGATGTCAGTGAATGCGGGAAAAGGCGCAGTGACCACATCACCCCTGTACTGTCGTCTCTCCACTGGCTGCCTGTCATTTTTAGAATCCATTTTAAGATCTTATTGTTTGTTTTTAAATCTCTTAATGGGCTGGCACCATCATATTTATCTGATATGCTGATTTTGCACACTCCAGTCAGAGCACTCAGGTCCACTGACCAGCTGCTTTTAGACTTTCCAAGGTCCAGACTGAAAACCAGAGGCGATAGAGCTTTTTCAGTAGCAGGTCCTAAGCTTTGGAACTCTCTTCCTCTCAACATTAGAGCAGCTACCTCTATTGAGAGCTTTAAATCACTTTAAAAACACATCTTTTTGCACTGGCTGCTCATACATGCTGAGCCGATATTTTATTGTTGTTATTGCTTTAAGTATAGTTTTTTATCTGTTGTCTGTTTTTTTTGGCATATTCTGTTTTAGAAGGGTTTTATTGCTGTTCTCTGTATCTGTACAGCACTTTGGGGCAGTAGTGACTGTTTGTAAACGTGCTATATAAATAAACTTTGACCTTGACCTTGACCACGAACCTCACACTAGGGCTCTTTTGGAGACAGCAGACAGCGTGACTGCAGCAAGGTAGGATAATTGTTTATTCAATTTCCCAATGTGAATGTTTTTGTCACAGAAAATGTCAAAGCAGAAAGTCCTGAATGGTTGCAGACATTTTAAAATCATACAGGTTAAGGTCAGTTGGAATACAGATGGAAGACTATAGCCAGGCCTATCATTGATGGCACTGACCAGTCTTCCTTTGAGAGGTATCACCGAAACCAGTGTTGACTGACATGGTGAGGATTTCGTTAAAAATGTAATCCGGTACGATTACAAATTACTATCAAGTATCCAAGTACCACAAAATAAAAGTAATGTAACCTAATTACTTTTAGTTACTTTTGGATTACTTCAATGCCAAATAGGCAAATGAAGACAAGAGAGTATTAATGATGCATTTTCTGCTTAGTGTATTTTTAGAGAAACATACAATAACAAAATCTTCCATTGCCATGAAATCAAAATCCATGTTTAAATGTTTATGCTTTGCACTATGTCACCACCCCGCGACCCTGTACGCAGGATAAGCGGTTGACGATGGATGGATGGATGGACTATGTCACTACTATGGCAGTATCTGGCCCATCAATGACAAAAAAACTTTGTTTTGTTGGTATTCTTCATGATATTTAAGAGTTTGTCAATTTGGAAAACCATTTTAAAATGTTGATGACTCATTCTCCGCTGGTTGTATTAATTTAGTGTCAAATGAAAAGATTCTCAACATGATGCTGCTGATTGCTAGGACCGAGCCCTCACTGATAACTGTACAAAAACACAACTTTTTTCACTGATTGTGAAAGTGGATCATATTTGATGGAGAAATATTAGAAATAGGGAGATAATATTTTCTAGTATTCTCTCTGATTTCCCCCG